TCACAGAAGCTGTGACTGTCAGCCTCTGGAGTCTTTAACACAAATGTGGCATTTTTTCCCCCTCAGAACATTAGTTAACAGTTCTCCCAGTTGGCCAAGCATCTCATTTTCTGCATGTAAAAGTCAATTATGCTTTGATGTCCTGTGGTCCTGGAAAAACTCCCTTCTAGAATCTGATAAAGACTGGGATGAGTAGCAGAATAGCATCTCCAGGAGAAGAGTGAGTGGAGCTGTAGGAGATGATATCCTGAATCATATCAGGTCTAAGCCATTATGATCTGAGTTCTGGTTATTCATTTTTCCTTCTATATCTTACAAAACACGCCCATGTGACATATGAGTATAGTAGGGATACTATCCCTGAAGTTTAAATAAATAAATAGATAGATAGATAGATAGATAGATAGATAGATAGATAGATAGATAGATAGATAGATAGGTAAATAAATAAATAAAAATGTACTATGGCCTAAAAAGGTAAATCTGGAGGTGAAGGACACAGGCCTTCTTAACTGATAAAGAAATCACCCTCTGACCAGCTTCACTGTATCTCCCTCTTGTGCCCATAGTCATTTGTACTCTGTAAACTGTTTTGTTTGAAGTGCATAGTATTTGAACGACTTATTATTCTGTCTTTTCTTCTGGCCAGTTTGAATCCAGAGACCTAACCTCATGTCGATTGGCTAGTTCTGATTTTAGAAAAGATTGGTCTAAATCTGATTACTATAATTCTTTCTTTAAAGATTTATTTAACTTCTGTGTGTATGATTGCCTGTGAGAATTTATATGCACCACATTGGAGTTCGCATGGAGGCCAGAGAGGGCATTGGATCCCCTGGACCTGTAGTACCAGATGGTTATGAGCTGCCATGTGGGTGTTGAAAACCAAAACAGGGTCCTTTGGAAGAGGAGTAAATGCTCTTAACTGCTAAGTCATCTCTCCTGCCTCATACAGTTATTTGGGGATAATTATTTCATCTTTCTGATTATCATGGTATTATACTACATTTTAGTTTGAGTAATCAAGTGGAAAGGTACATTACAAAGAAAGCAAATAACAGTATAGTTTGACTTTTAATTTCCTTCAAACAGAATTGTCTAATTAGTGTGACAGTTAGAAGAATTCATACATCAGGATCTCATAGGTTTTATAGGTATAGCCAAATCTTACTTCATATTTTATAAGTAGGAAGAGAAATAAATGATACATTAGCAGGAGTCACTTTGTAATGTCCACTTTCCTCGTTGGTGAAATAGGAATAGTATTTAATTTAAAAACTATAAATTATAGTAAATAATGCAAGAGTTCTTGTTAGAAGATAGTTTACATGTTTACAGATGTAAGACTAAGTAATTTAGGGTGTCTGAGCAAGTAGACAGTCATAACAACCATGCTTGATGGAAGGACACAATGTCTTCATTGGTGGCTTTACTAAAGCCAAAATTAGCATTTTTGTCATTTAGGAATATATCAATGAAAAATTAATACCTAAATATTAAATTATTTAAGAAACATATAAAGTGAGAGAATTTTTGCAACAAGAGTTTTGAGTCCAGTTACTTGAGGTAGACGTAGCCAGTGTAGTTGAAGGTGAGTGTCACCCTCTTTCCTGCCTTTCTCAGTCGATGTAGTCGCTTCATTTTAGCTTTCGTTCTACCAATTTTTTTCTCCCCTGGAAACTCACTTTGGAAAGATGCTAATCAATTCTGGGGTTTTAATTACCATGTGTAAAAGTCTCTTATAATTGTGTCTATCTCTTTCATTTTTATTTTTAAATACTTTTTAATTCTTGGAGAATTTCTTCTTGTATGCATATGGTATCTCCTAGTGTAATTTAAGAATGTTTATCTTATTTATTGGCTGAAATTTTTTTCATATACTATATTTTTTGGTCATATCCTTTCCTTTCTTTTCTACCCACTCAACTTCATGTTCTTAAAAAAAAAAAAA